AAATATAATCTAGGAAACATAAGGTTTTTGTCTCATAACATTCTCTCAGCTCACATGTTATGTGTCACAACACACTCTCAGCTCACATGTTATGTGTCGCAACCTAGTCTCAGCTCACATGTTATGTGTCACAACACACTCTCAGCTCACATGTTATGTGTCACAAAACACTCTCAGCTCACATGTTATGTGTCACAACACACTCTCAGCTCACATGTTATGTGTCACAACCTAGTCTCAGCTCACATGTTATGTATCACAACACACTCTCAGCTCACATGTTATGTGTCACAACACACTCTCAGCTCACATGTTATGTGTCACAACACACTCTCAGCTCACATGTTATGTGTCACAACACACACTCTCAGCTCACGTTACGTGTCGTAACACACTCTCAGCTCACGTTACGTGTCGTAACACACTCTCAGCTCACGTTACGTGTCGTAACACACTCTCAGCTCACGTTATGTGTCGCAACACACTCTCAGCTCACGTTACGTGTCGTAACACACTCTCAGCTCACGTTACGTGTCGCAACACACTCTCAGCTCACGTTACGTGTCACAACACACACTCTCAGCTCACGTTACGTGTCGCAACACACTCTCAGCTCACGTTACGTGTCGTAACACACTCTCAGCTCACGTTACGTGTCGTAACACACTCTCAGCTCACGTTATGTGTCGCAACACACTCTCAGCTCACGTTACGTGTCGTAACACACTCTCAGCTCACGTTACGTGTCGCAACACACTCTCAGCTCACGTTACGTGTCACAACACACACTCTCAGCTCACGTTACGTGTCGTAACACACTTTCAGCTCACGTTATGTGTCGCAACACACTCTCAGCTCACGTTACGTGTCGCAACACACTCTCAGCTCATATTATGTGTCACAACACACTCTCTCAGCTCACGTTACGTGTCGCAACACACTCTCAGCTCACGTTACGTGTCGTAACACACTCTCAGCTCACGTTATGTGTCGCAACACATTCTCAGCTCACGTTACGTGTCGCAACACACTCTCAGCTCACGTTACGTGTCGCAACACACTCTCAGCTCACGTTACGTGTCGCAACACACTCTCAGCTCACGTTACGTGTCGTAACACACTCTCAGCTCACGTTACGTGTCGCAACACACTCTCAGCTCACGTTACGTGTCACAACACACACTCTCAGCTCACGTTACGTGTCACAACACACACTCTCAGCTCACGTTACGTGTCGTAACACACTCTCAGCTCACGTTACGTGTCGTAACACACTCTCAGCTCACGTTACGTGTCGCAACACACTCTCAGCTCACGTTACGTGTCACAACACACACTCTCAGCTCACGTTATGTGTCGCAACACACTCTCAGCTCACGTTACGTGTCGTAACACACTCTCAGCTCACGTTACGTGTCGCAACACACTCTCAGCTCACGTTACGTGTCACAACACACACTCTCAGCTCACGTTACGTGTCGCAACACACTCTCAGCTCACGTTACGTGTCGCAACACACTCTCAGCTCACGTTACGTGTCGCAACACACTCTCAGCTCACATTATGTGTCACAACACACTCTCTCAGCTCACGTTACGTGTCGCAACACACTCTCAGCTCACGTTACGTGTCGTAACACACTCTCAGCTCACGTTATGTGTCGCAACACATTCTCAGCTCACGTTACGTGTCGCAACACACTCTCAGCTCACGTTACGTGTCGCAACACATTCTCAGCTCACGTTACGTGTCGCAACACACACTCTCAGCTCACGTTACGTGTCGTAACACACTCTCAGCTCACGTTACGTGTCGCAACACACTCTCAGCTCACGTTACGTGTCACAACACACACTCTCAGCTCACGTTACGTGTCGCAACACACTCTCAGCTCACGTTACGTGTCGCAACACATTCTCAGCTCACGTTACGTGTCGTAACACACTCTCAGCTCACGTTACGTGTCGCAACACATTCTCAGCTCACGTTACGTGTCGTAACACACTCTCAGCTCACGTTACGTGTCGCAACACACTCTCAGCTCACGTTATGTGTCGCAACACATTCTCAGCTCACGTTACGTGTCGTAACACACTCTCAGCTCACGTTACGTGTCGTAACACTCTCAGCTCACATTATGTCTGCCGTTCAATCAGTGTGCAAAAGTTTTCCTCAAACGTTCTCTGTGTTCCACTTGGAAACAGGTTTCAATGACGTCAATATGTTTTTGCTTGCATGTTGTTCCCTGTATGTGTGTATACCTTGGCCTCTATGTTCCCTGTATATGTGTATACCTTGTTCTCTGTTCCCTGTATGTGTGTATACCTTGTTCTCTGTTCCCTGTATGTGTGCATACCTTGTTCTCTGTTCCCTGTATGTGTGCATACCTTGTTCTCTGTTCCCTGTATGTGTGCATACCTTGTTCTCTGTTCCCTGTATGTGTGTATACCTTGGCCTCTATGTTCCCTGTATATGTGTATACCTTGTTCTCTGTTCCCTGTATGTGTGTATACCTTGGCCTCTATGTTCCCTGTATGTGAGTATACCTTGTTCTCTGTTCCCTGTATGTGTGTATACCTTGGCCTCTATGTTCCCTGTATATGTGTATACCTTGTTCTCTATGTTCCCTGTATGTGTGTATACCTTGTCCTCTATGTTCCCTGTATGTGTGCATACCTTGGCCTCTATGTTCCCTGTATGTGTGTATACCTTGGCCTCTATGTTCCCTGTATGTGAGTATACCTTGTCCTCTATGTCCCCTGTATGTGTGTATACCTTGTTCTCTGTTTCCTGTATGTGTGTATACCTTGTCCCTCTATGTCCCCTGTATGTGTGCATACCTTGTTCTCTATATTCCCTGTATGTGTGTATACCTTGTCCCTCTATGTCCCCTGTATGTGTGTATACCTTGTCCCTCTATGTCCCCTGTATGTGTGCATACCTTGTTCTCTATATTCCCTGTATGTGTGTATACCTTGTCCCTCTATGTCCCCTGTATGTGTGCATACCTTGTTCTCTATATTCCCTGTATGTGTGTATACCTTGTCCCTCTATGTCCCCTGTATGTGTGCATACCTTGTTCTCTATATTCCCTGTATGTGTGTATACCTTGTCCCTCTATGTCCCCTGTATGTGTGCATACCTTGTTCTCTATATTCCCTGTATGTGTGTATACCTTGTCCCTCTATGTCCCCTGTATGTGTGCATACCTTGTTCTCTATATTCCCTGTATGTGTGTATACCTTGTCCCTCTATGTCCCCTGTATGTGTGCATACCTTGTTCTCTATATTCCCTGTATGTGTGTATACCTTGTCCCTCTATGTCCCCTGTATGTGTGCATACCTTGTTCTCTATATTCCCTGTATGTGTGTATACCTTGCCCCTCTATGTTCCCTGTATGTGTGTATACCTTGCCCCTCTATGTTCCCTGTATGTGTGTATACCTTGCCCCTCAATGTTCCCTGTATGTGTGTATACCTTGTCCCTCTATGTTCCGTGTATGTGTGTATACCTTGTCCTGAATGTTCCCTGTATATGCACTCCCCCCCCCCCCTCCCCCTTCCTCTCCGTTACCTGTGGTGTGACCTCAGCTCCTATGAAACACACAACGTTACCTCAAAGTTGTAACAACACTATTCCGACGTCACAATAAGAAATGTTGTGGTAACGCCTTGTCCTCATTGGTAGCTTAGAACCCTGGCTTAGAACCCTGGCTTAGAACCCTGGCTTAGAACCACTATGTAATCCACTTGGAAAAATCCTCATGGAACAGGAGGCGTCTTTTGACAAGCCGCAGGCTTCATGTCCCCGTCGCTCACCCTTGGGTGAATTCGGGTATATATATAGTATAGTGGCTGGGTGCCAGGCGTTCATAGAGCTGCGTCTGGTAATTGATGACTGACGCAGAATACATTCAGCTTTTCTAAGAATACAATTATCTCTTCTAAGAATACAATTATCTCTTCTAAGAATACAATTATCTCTTCTAAGAATACAATTATCTCTTCTAAGAATACAATTATCTCTTCTAAGAATACAATTATCTCTTCTAAGAATACAATTATCTCTTCTAAGAATACAATTATCTCTTCTAAGAATACAATTATCTCTTCTAAGAATACAATTATCTCTTCTAAGAATACAATTATCTCTTCTAAGAATACAATTATCTCTTCTAAGAATACAATTATCTCTTCTAAGAATACAATTATCTCTTCTAAGAATACAATTATCTCTTCTAAGAATACAATTATCTCTTCTAAGGAGATGAAGAGATTGTTATGAGGAGAGCTGAGGGAGAGGCCTGAGTGTCTGGGGCGAAGGAACTCACACTGGGAAAGTTTTGTCTAGTAACTTTGTTAGCATAATATAATTTGCTAATATATGGTATTTTCCTAGTATAATATACTTTGTTAGCATAATATAATTTGCTAGTATATTATATTTTCCTAGTATAATATACTTTGTTAGCATAATATAATTTGCTAATATATTGTATTTTCCTAGTATAATATACTTTGGTTGTAAAATATATTAAAGTTATTAGTATGACAATATATAGTAGGAGCAACTTAGGCAAGACAAAGGTAGACTGCTCTTGGCATATATTATGAAGCAAACAGCTGGTAAACCCTAACAACACAAGATGACAAATGATTCAAACACCAAAATAATGAAAAATAATCGTGTTTGTTTACACGCAGATCGCGTGACGCAAGAATGTGATCGCGTGACGCAAGAATGTGATCGCGTGACGCAAGAATGTGATCGCGTGACGCAAGAATGTGATCGCGTGACGCAAGAATGTGATCGCGTGACGCAATGATGTAACGACGTGATGCAACAATGTGATCCCTGAAATGTATTCCTCAAAATGCAAAAGGAAAAGGAAAAACCTGTAGTGTTGCAGAGAGTGTTGAAAGCACGTCAAGGCATACGTTTGTACCCTGCTTCCCCGTCAGCAAACAGGAAATAGGTGAGTTTTCCTAGAGGTGGTGTGTGCTCTCAGCACCACTCCTCTGCACCAGCGAGGCCGTGCCGGGTGTGTGTGTGTGTGTGTCTGGGGCCGACAGCAGTCGCTATATACACGTGTTATCATGGCTGCCACAACCACAAGTGAGATAGCCGGCACCATGAGCAGTCCGCGACGTTGCAGCGTCAACCCGCTGGCGGAGTTACTGATCTTGTGTGTGTTTGGGACTGTGCCGGCGCTGGTGGTGCTGGTGGTGCTCTTCCACTCCCCCGGGTCTTCCGTCAGGGGCTTCTCCCTCCTGGTGGTGGTGTCTGTCATCGGCGCCTGCGTCTCGCTCCTCCTGGCCCACTACCGCCTCGTGTCTCGACGCCCACAGGTCAGTGTCTTCAACACCCTGGCTCATCTTACACCTTATAACGGATCAAGGGTGACACCTTGCCACTGTTGGCGGTGTTCTTCAGTGGACAAAATGTAGGTAGGCAACAACAGGGAAAGTTAAACTAGATGAACCAGTCAAACTAGTCACCTGCCACACGATTTTCTTTTGTTTTCGAAGATTCATCTTTTGTTATGTTTAAGTTGAAGTCGGTCGCTCACCAGTGACCAGTGTTCGTCAGCAATAAGACAGTGTTCCAGCTTTAGCAACATATGCGGTTATGTTGATCATTTTTGACACAAGTTAATAGACGAAGGAAATATTTCCAACTTGACCGACGCTGGCAAGAGCGGCTTGAAACGTTTGTTTAAAACTTTGCAGCTTGAACTTAAGACAAGTTTTTCCTAATAATGTGACGGCAGAATCTAAGTGAGTAACACTTGCTAATATAAGCGATCTAGCAATGTTGGGAATAAGGTACGAACTGACCATATGGCTCCGTCACGGGACGTACCAGGAGCCTCACTGTTCCTGCCGCGCCTCATATGGCAACACACACACCACACATGAGCCAGGGTAATATATGGCAACACTCACACACACCTTTCAGAGACAGTACGCATGACTCGTGGCAGGATATGGCACACCTGCCAGCAGCAGCACGCATGACGGAAAAATATGGCAACATATCTTATCAGCAGCACGTATCATTCATGGCAATATGGCAACACTCACACCTGTCAGCAGCTGCGCTCATGACTCGTGGTAATATATATGGCAACACTCACACCTGTCAGCGGAGAGACTACCTTGTAAATGTGCCGGAGGAAGAGGTACACAGGGAGAGGGAAGTTAAGGGAGCCGGTCGGCCGAGCGGACACCACGCTGGACTTGTGATCCTGTGGTCCCGGGTTCGATCCCAGGCGCCGGCGAGAAACAATGGGCAGAGTTTCTTTCACCCTATGCCCCTGTTACCTAGCAGTAAAATAGGTACCTGGGTGTTAGTCAGCTGTCACGGGCTGCTTCCTGGGGGTGGAGGCCTGGTCGAGGACCGGGCCGCGGGGACACTAAAGCCCCGAAATCATCTCAAGATAACCTCAAGATGTCAAGATAACACAGGTAAACTTGAGTGGTTTTTGCTAATTCCAATTAAATGCTGGTAGATACTAGTAGCATAGTTGGCTTCGTCCTCGAAATCACAATCGGGGACCCTTGGTTCGATTCTCGGTTAGGACAGAAATGTTTAGGCATGTCTCCTTTCACCTGACGCCACTATTCACCTAGCAGTAAACAGTTAGTCAAGTGTTGTGAAGTTGTATGTTAGGGGGGGTCAGACCCCCACCTTGGGGAGGGGGGGGGGCGCGATACAAGTATATAGATGCAGGCTTCTTGTCCCCGGCAAAACCAATTAAATATATATCTACGAAGAGGCAAGTACATCAGTGTATCTAATTGCTTAGATAAATAATTACAATTTTTGTTATTTTAATTGAAATTGAAATAAGTTTATTGTGGTAAAATACACACAAAGGGATGAGGTAGCTCAAGCTATTCTCACCCCGTTCAGTACAACGTGTTAGTACATACACAGACACACATCACAAACAATAAACCTGTTACCAAACATTCTGAGAGATAAACATGTACATTTCCTGTTATTTTAATAAACTTAGGAGAAGGTCTTACTGTATTATGGCAGGAAACTACAGCTGTTGTCTAAGTCGGCCATATTGGTGACAGATTGTATAATAAATTAGTGAATTAATTGCCCCTCAGTGTTTTGTCATGCTCTCAAGAAACGTTCTCTTGTGAAGCTATTATGGCATTATTTAATTGATCCATTCAGCACTATTACCACTAATGGTTCCCATTGTCGGGGACAGGCAGCCTGGTAGACATAATGGGGTCCCGCAAGGCCAGTTACTGACCTTCCACAAGAAGGGAAGGGAATTATCAGGGGAAAAGCACCAAATCATTACGACTATATAGCACTGGGAAGGGGTCAGGATAAGGATTTGGGATGGGACGGGGGGAAGGAATGGTATCCAACCACTTGGACGGTCGGGGATTGAACGCCGACCTGCATGAAGCGAGACCGTCGCTCTACCGTCCAGCCCAAGTAGCTTACCCCCTTCCACAAGAGCGTCCCCATATAATGCCAACACGGCCCCCAGAGGCACCCGTGCCGCCTCTTGCCTGCCTTAATCTTCACCTATGGACCCAGCGGCACACATAAACAGGGTGTCATCGGCAGCATATGAGACGCTGGCAAACGTTACAGCGTCGTTTAGAAAGTTGAATCAGGACTCTTTCAAGGCAAATATCACAACCTTTGTTAGACCAACACTGGAATATGCAGCACCGGCCTGGACCCCTCACCTTGTGAAGCATAAAATCAAAAAATATAAAAAGGTTTTCCACAAGATTAATGCCACAGTTAAGATGATTAATACACAAGTATAGGCTGGAGGAACTAGATCTCACGGCCCTAGAGGGCACATGTGACAATGAGGATATGTTAACAACATACACGATACTGAGGGGACAAGATGGACAAGGACAGCCTCCCTAAATAGAACCAAAGAAATCTAAGGAAATGCTGTTCCCAGCACGGGGGAGGGGGGGGAGGAGGGGGGGAGGGGGGAGGAGGGGGGGGGGGAGGGAGGGGAGGGGGGGGGAGGGGGGACGGGTCAACAAGTGGAATGCACTGAAAGAGTAAGTTGTGGAAGCCACCTCCATCCACAGCTTTAAGGCCAGATTCGACAAAGAATTCGAACGACAGAATAGTTATATTATATGGCAACAAGAAGGCTGGTAGGTGGGACACAAGAGCTACACCTCACTCCCCGTAGTCACTGATAGGTAAGTACCTACTTACTGCTAGGTGGACAGAGACATCAGGTGTACGAAGACATGTCAGCTCATAACCAACTGGACCCGGGTTCCACTCCTCGACAGAGCGAGACGTTTGGGCACGTTTCCTTATACCCGATGCCCCTGTTCACCCAGCTGTAAACTGGTACTTAGGAGTTAGGCAACTGTTGTGGGTGGCGCCCTGAGGAAGATCAATCAGGGATTTGTGGAAACTCAAAAAGCCACAAATCCTTTTAGTCTCCAACAATGATAAAGTATTTATCCTTGTGTGATAAACTCAACTGCAGCCTTGACCAGTTATTGCTCGCTTCCTAATTTAATTGTTTTAATTATGCCCCGAGGGGCGAGTTTATTGGGCAGCGTCACTCATCCTGTGAGTGGACACACCGCCATAGTGACAGTATTGGGCAGCGTCACTCATCCTGTGAGTGGACACACCGCCATAGTGACAGTATTGGGCAGCGCCACTCATCCTGTGAGTGGACACACCGCCATAGTGACAGTATTGGGCAGCGCCACTCATCCTGTGAGTGGACACACCGCCATAGTGACAGTATTGGGCAGCGTCACTCATCCTGTGAGTGGACACACCGTCATAGTGACAGTATTGGGCAGCGCCACTCATCCTGTGAGTGAACACACCGCCATAGCAGCATGTACAACACTCCCCAATAGGAAGAAAACCCGCTGGGTTGTTCATCCTGTCACTTGTACCCAGACACAGCTGGGACTTGCTTAACTGTCTCAAGTGAACAGCTCCTCAAACAAGATGATTAACATTTGTCAACCCTTAAAATCTTACGTTATCTTGCGGCTGCAAAATATGGGAAATCTTTTTAATAACAGTATCAATATTTGCCAAATGTTATTGTCCCAACTCAAACAATGTGGAGTTTATTATTCCACACATATTGGTAACGTCTGTCAGGTGTTGACATTGTCGTATATGGCGGAGCTTGACTTCCTGTGATCTGATCAATGCAAGACATGAGACTTTACTCAAACCCTTGATGTAAACTGTAAGAAAACGATCATAACAATACCATGACAAGTTATATTGCAGTTATGTTATTATGATGTTAAAGAAAATGGCATGTTCGAACATAATGATTGTTTTACATGCAACTAAATGTTGGAGGAAATTTGTCAATTGTTATAATTACAATTGTGAATCTGTATTATGTGAAATTTGGTGATGATGACAGATGGTGTTGTTGATAAAGTCATGAGTTTGTATGATGAATAAGTTAAGGGAACAAGGGGGCACTCTCTGGCACTATGTTAATACCAAACAAGAGACACTCAATGGCACTATGTTGAATGGAAAAAAGGAGATGTATGGCCCTGTGTTGACGGAGCAAGGGACACTATGACCATTGTCCCCTTGACCAAACATATATACAAAACGTGCCATCAACTTCATATGCTGGAGGTACGTTATGGGTAAGCTGGAGGTGGTGGTGTCTGTGGTGTCGTGATGGTGTTTTACCAATGTTTGTGATAAGGAAGGCTGGCCAGTGATCACATGTTATGAGTCATTATGTCTCAAGTGAGATGGTCTGTCCTGTCGGTCCAGCACATGTTATAGCGATTCGAGTGGCGTCAGTTATCCTTGGGATCGGTATTCCACTCAGCATGCCATGATATCATCCCACTCAACATGCCATGATATGCCACTCAACATGCCATGATATCATCCCACTCAACATGCCATGATATCATCCCACTCAACATGCCATGATATACCACTCAACATGCCATGATATCATCCCACTCAACATGCCATGATATGCCACTCAACATGCCATGATATCATTCCACTCAACATGCCATGATATCATCCCACTCAACATGCCATGATATACCACTCAACATGCCATGATATCATCCCACTCAACATGCCATGATATACCACTCAACATGCCATGATATCATTCCACTCAACATGCCATGATATCATCCCACTCAACATGCCATGATATACCACTCAACATGCCATGATATCATCCCACTCAACATGCCATGATATGCCACTCAGCATGCCATGATATACCACTCAACATGCCATGATATCATCCCACTCAACATGCCATGATATACCACTCAACATGCCATGATATGCCACT